CTTGAATGCAAGAGCATGATTATATGATCTGTAAGTCAAAGTTGCAATTATCTTGAGACATAATAAGTCATGTATGTATATATAGTTACATATTATATTTAACCAAAAAATGATATCTAAAAGCTCAAAATAAGTACATATAATCATATATTATACTAAACCGTAGCTTTTGAGTCTGTTTTCAAGTACAGGAGGAAGGAAATTAAATGATGAACATTATCAAAAATCCTAATTCATTAGTAGAAGGAAATTTTCCAAAATAAGATTCTTTGATGATCAATTGTAATAAACCAGAGCCACCGAATACAAATCAGTCAATCATGTAACCAAAGCAAACCTAATTTTACATTATAAACATAACAAGGCAAACCAAGTAGTAAAAATGAAAATGAAGATACGAAGACAAACTCAAAGTCGCTTACGATGAATCCTCAAGCCCTAAACCGAAGTCGCCTACCGCAACTCGATGAATTCACAAGCCCTAAACCGAAGTCGCCTACCATAACTTGATGAATCCACAATCCCTAAACCGAAGTCGCCTACCGTAACTTGATGAATCTTCAAGCTTTAAATCAAACATATGAGACAAATTGAACTCAAACTCGATCAAGAAACGAAATCGAAGATCGAAGTAGGAAATTTGTTTTATCAAGTAGGAAAATTTTCAAGTACAGGACTCGTATCTCCTCTCCGACTCTCCTTTTGATTTTCAATAATATTTTATTATATAAATTTGATTTATCAAAAATAGAAAAGGTTTAGATACGCTTTTGAAAATTATAAAAAAGTAACTAAAACCTTTTGTTTAATTTTAAAATAAAAATAAAATACTTTATTCTTTAGCGACAATGTAAAAAGTGTTTCTAAAGCTTTTGAGTCAATTTTTAGATACGTTTTATGTAAGAAGCATCTCTAAAGCTTTAGGACCAATATACATAGCATATTATTAGGTTTGAAATCTTTCTCTGAAAGTCATCTTATCTTCAGGTACATTTTTCAGTTTTGTCATGTATTTCCTTCCCTAAACAACACCTTTAGATACACATCCAAATCCTTCTCTAGAACTTCCTTCTCTAAAATCCATTTTCCTTGTAGTGTGAAGAAAAAGTCAGCCTTTGGGTTTGGAGCAAAGCTTCAAACACCACTCTACCCTCCATTTGCCTTTTTGAACTTCTTGTTTTCACTTGTAATACATATATATAATACAATCATTATTACCTTCATTATATAGACCCTAATGTTGCAATGCAAAACCCTTTCACTAACAATATCTAGTGTCTTTCTGTTGTATCCATATCATAAGACTCATAATTGTTCATCTTTGTGTGAAGAAGTTGGAAGGATGATCTAATTTCATTATGTTAAACTTCATTTAAAATATTTCCTTAGTGCAACCACTTAATATGTTGGATGGCCACTAAAACAGTTTCTGATATATTTGGGATGCTTCGTACCAAGTTTCGATCCTATGCTTAGATTGTTATGTATGAGTGGAATAGGGGAGTTGTTCTAGTTTTGATAGTAACATTAAGGTTGTTACAACAATATTTTAATTTTTTTTATGTATATTCTGGTATTCTTTTTTTTGATGATAGAATGCTTTGGATAGGGAATTATAAGAGATTTATTCTATGCTTTTCAATCTTGATTTGCTAAATGTCGTTATTTGTAAGGTATAGACATTGTTGGTGAGGGTTCACAACCAAAAAGACGTAGAATAAACTGGAAAAAAGAGAGTGTGGTGCGAACATTTCTTGAAGCATGTATACATAAGGTCGTTACACATGGACAGGAAGGCACCAATCTTAAGTCGCGTTCATGGAAGAATGTTGCATAGATGCTTAAAAACAAACATAACTTCGTCAAAGATAAAAAACAAATGAAAAACCACTATGATTATTTGAAAGCAAAATACAATGTATGGACGAGACTGAAAAACAAAACAGACAACGTGTATGACCCAACAACTAACACGTTTAATCTAACTAATGAAGAGTGACAAATAGAAATTGAGGTATCTTTATAATTTTATATCAGTTTGCATTTGGTATCTTCGTAAATTTATTTATATAATCCTTTTTAAAATAAAGAAGCAAATATGTAGAACCAATCAGGAGTACAAGACTGCTTTTTCCCGATCTTTGTGTTCAACTGTTTGATGGAGTTCAAGTAATAGGAACTGAAAGTCATGGGCAACGTTCTAGTATTCCTGACATTTCCGACCCCCTTTCTGATCACTCGAGTGAAGATGTTGAGGTAGTTCCTAATACTCAACAAATCCCGACCCTAATTTTAGGACAAGAGTGTGATTCTCGTCGTAGTACACAAGCAAGTAAATAGAGAAAAGTGTTAAACCCAGATGTGAAAGTAGAACAATTTAACAAGAATATAAAATGAGAGATTTGTAGAAGAAGATGAATAGAAATTGGCCGCCACTTTCTTTATTGAATACAAATTCTCTCAAAAATCCTAATCGACTCTCATGTGATGTGTTTGAATCTGTATGTTACAAAGTGTTGATCATTCATCTCACTTCTATTCTATGCATGTATCACTTCTTATATAGGCGATATTTACATGATAACTGAATCTTATAAATAAGGTAACTAAATCCTATAAACAAGGAAATAATCATTATCGAAAATGGGATCAGCACCATCCTTCAAGATTCTGAAGATAGTCTTCGAGAGCATAGACCAACCAGAGGGCCTCTGGTCCTGAAGGACTTAGAGACCAGAGGCTCTGGTCTATACAACCAGAGGCTCTGGTCGTCCACTCCAAAGGGGCTTTGGTCTTCTTCCAGACTTAGTCGTTTTAGCACAACAACATCTTTAGATCTTCCATCCTTGGCTCCGATTGCTTGATAAAACTTTTAGAATAATTAGGATCAATTTTGGTCCTAACAATCTCCCCCCAAATTTTTATAAAACAAGCATCCTCATGAAGTCTTCAGGTCTTCTCCCTTTTGCTTTCTTCAATAAAGCTTTAGTGTGCTTGGTATGGATGGAATCTTCAAGCTCCCCCCCTGAATGTAGCTCTCTATTCTTCATTTTCAACTCTTAGACCAAATCAGATTCAATGTGAATGCAACACCACTGATTGCACATAATGCAACTTTAATCTGCCTACAACCCAACACATACTTTGAAGCACAGAATAGCCACTCAACCCCAAAAGTAGCAAATTCATCTAACTAATGATAGGTAAATGTGTGAATTTCTTGACAAAATAGTGCAACCAGTCTTATGACAAAGAATCTTTTGTTGAACCGCAATTTGAATAGGAATTTAGCTTTAGAGTTTGATCCAATTGGAGATAACTTGAATAACCAAAGCAAACACCATTGGAATTGAGAAGTGGAGAGAAGAATTAACATTAAGCTTTATGGCTTCAAGAAACAACAGGTCAATTAAAAAAAAAATTGACAGTATTGTTGTTGATGCTTCTAAGGGCAAAACATGAAGGAATATCGCCATATTCATATAGGATTGGTGATTGTAGGTAAATAAATCTTTAAGCTCTTACAGATTCAAATTTGCAAGGAGAGACGATGAACAAATACTCAAGATATGGGCGATAATTATAGGTTTGACAAACAAAACGCCATTGCCTTAGGTTGTGAGCACCATGAACTCCTACTTAACGCCTACGCATAGATCTGACAAAATCAAGGTTCAAAAGTTCAACTGACTCCAAGAAACTCCATCAAATAAACCAATTTTTTATGATCAAAATAGGTTCGTATTCATCTAAGAACAAATCCCTTAAAAGGAATTTGATTAAAACATTTAATCATATGATGAATCGATGAATTTGGGTCAAAACTGCAGTCGAATAGGAAGCAGTTCATGAAAGAGTATTGTTCAAGAAAATTGAATCTACTGCAGAAAGATCGAATCGATAGAAGTTAATCGATTTGGCTCTGATACCAATTGTTAAACCCAGATCTGACAGTAGAACAATTTAATAGGAATATAAAATGAGAGATTTGTAGAAGAAGATGAATAGAAATTGGCCGCCGCTTTCTTTATTGAATACAAACTCTCTCAAAAACCTTAATCGACTCTCATGTGATGTGTTTGAATCTGTACGTTACAAAGTGTTGATCATTCATCTCACTTCTATTCTATGCCTGTATCACTTCTTATATAGGCGATATTTACATGATAACTGAATCCTATAAATAAGGTAACTAAATCCAATAAACAAGGAAATAATCATTATCGAAAATGGGATCAGCATCATCCTTCAGAATTCTGAAGATAGTCGTCAAGAGCATAGACCAACCAGAAGGCCTCTGGCGGAGGCTCTGGTCTATACAACCAGAAGGCCTCTGGCGGAGGCTCTGGTCTATACAACCAGAGGCTCTGGTCGTCCAGAGGGGATCTGGTCTTCTTCCAGACTTAGTCGTTTTAGCACAACGACATCTTCAGATCTTCCATCTTTGACCCCGATTGCTTGATAAAACTTTTAGAATAATTAGGATCAATTTTGGTCATAACAAAAAGGTAAACAATCAAGTAACTCATAAGTTGAAGAAGATATTTCTAAGGCTGTGAAAGCAATTATGGAAAAATATTTGAACGATGTGTCTGCTTGCTTGGCAAAGTTGGATGAACCTGGATGGGGAACAGATCACCTGCTGTACCACGTAGCTACTTTTATCTTCAGTGAGAGTGTGATTATAGGAAAGTATGGTTGTGTTTGAAGCCGGAAGGTTGTGTGGGTTGGGTTAGAATGATAGGACAAAAGTACAGATCGTGTAGTCGCAACATATTATGCTTTTGAACATTTTATTTTGATATGATGCTAGCTTTTGAATGATGTTTTACTTTTGAACACATGACTTTTGGATGACATAACTATTGGACATGCTTTTGAATGATGCAACTTTTGAATGAAAATTTTTCTTTGAGCGTGCAAATTAACCTTCAGTAATGTTTTGTAATTATTTTTATTTGCAAAGTTCTTTATGGATGTTGAGAAAGAATTGTTGCCTTTGTTACTTTTTTGGTTGTATTTGAAACGAAAAGCTACATCAAGAATCAAAGGATAAGAGATAACACTTCATCGTTGTCCGGACATGCGTATACTCTAGAACTATTAAATGGCTCAAATACGCAATGTCTTGAGTTGATGCGTTTTGGGTTCAAGAATGTGCGTTAAAGTTGTATTCAAGTTCTCCCTTTATAATGTTTTGTAATAGTTAACATTTACTGTTTTCCTTATAAATAGTAATTAGTTTTCTAATTGTCATTAGTTCACTTGTTAATCAGATTAGAGCTGAAAACATTATGTAATATTCTCTCAAAGAAATCTATTCAAGATTTGGTGAAAATCTCTTTCTACTCTTGTTCTTGATCTAGATCTGAAGATTTGATTCTGATTTTGTATGATTTGAGAATTACAATTGGTATCAGAGTAGGATTATGCACGAAATCAGGAGAAGAAATCATTGGTTTTGAAGTTTTTTTTAAGAAATTTCTGGAATTTCTTTTATGTTCTTGTGTTCTTCATTTTTTTTTTTAAGTTTGATCCATATTTTTAATTTTTTTTTTGTGTTTTTGTGTTAATTTTGGGATCAATTTGTGCGTAATCTTGTTGTGAATCTTTGTTTTACACAAGATTTGCATTTTGATCATTCTATTTCAAGATTTGTTTGAATTTGTGGTTTTAATTTTTTTTTTCGTGTTCTTGGATTTTTTTTAATCAGTGTTTTTTGATCCAATTTTTTTGTTATTTTTTTTTGTTTGTTTTTGGTCTTAAATCGCATAAGGCCCAACCTACTTCTCACTTGAAGAATGTAGATATTGAAACAAGTAGGCCGCTGCCCAGCCTACGACTTCGATTATGTGCACCTCGAGTCTAGAGTCGATACACTTAGGTACACAAGAGTCTCGAGCATCTGTTGCTCCCATTGCGGTTCTTAGTGAACTCGCCGGAACGACTAGAGTTGTGTCTTTTGACCAACCACAAGGACCGGTCGGAAGTCCTACCAGTGCTACCATTTTGCCAACATTGAACGTAGGCACAACAATTTACTCAACTGTTGTTTCAACTGGTAATCTAAGTGATCCAGGAGTGATATTACCAGACTTTGTGTCAAGGAAATATTTGGACGGCGCACTAAAGGTTGTTCAGGATAACATGGAAGCTC